GTTGCCGTAATAATATATTGTAGTTAGTTACGCACAACGCGACTATTGTTTGAAAATAGAGAATTTCATTAAAACGGACAGACCGCGCCGCGCCGGGGAGATAAGAGGATTATAACATTATATTAAATTAATAATAATTATACGGAAAATATCGTCCGCCAGGTACTAAATTTTGATATACTCGCGTCGGTCCGAAAAGTTCGCGAAAGGGGAAATAATAATAATAAGGATCGTTTGCCCTCCGCTACGACTATTATTATTATTATTATTATTATACTGACACATATTTGATATTATTATCGCGTTACTCGCCGGGAAGTTCTGTTATTATGTTTCCCGAACTTTGATAATTAATAACCGTTTGATAATAAAATAATTCAATCTGTTAAAAACGTTGTTAGCGCGAACATGAGTGCGTTTCTTTGGGCTTTCGTGGTACAGCGCGTTTCGTCGTCTTTACCAGCGGCGGCGCGTCCAGGGATTTTCAATTGGGTGTAGTATCAATGTAAATCACCGTAGTACCTAAACGATATAATATCGTGTAGAATCTTTTTCTATACTCAACGGTGAGAATTTAAACGGCCGATTCTAAAAACCGATTATTATTCAATAAATCGATTTCCCCCCCCACACCCCTCAAATAACTGAGTGAATTGTCTATATAATTTCCAGATAAAATTATTATTATTATAAATACTCGTACCTAGTTGTAAAGAGAAGGGATATAAACCCACTAACCTCTCCATCACCACCTCTTTACTATCATTTCCTCTTGCCGAGTACCCACACTCATTTATACTGTAGAGTACCAATATAATAATATATACAGAAAAGTAGGCGGAACGACACTTTATGAAAAAACGAACGACTATATAAAAAAAAAAAAAAAAAAAAAAAAAAAAAAAAAAAAAAAAAAAAAAAAAAAAAAACAATAATAACAAAACAAAGAGATAAACAAACAAAATAAATATAATATATAAGACGATAGCAATAGCTCTCACCTTACAGTCGAACGGTTTCATATCCGGTCATATTTTCTCATTATATTCTTTCGTTTTTTTTTTTTCTTCTACTACGAGATCTTTTATTGGGAATCGTAAAAAAAAATAATAATAATAACTTTGAACAACGTGCGCTCCACGGTGATATATCTACATAATATTATTTACGCGAACGGAAAATGGAAATTCAAAACCGCGTCGTATATCATAATAATTCAATAAAGTATTACAGTAAGAGAAGAAGAATTTATTGTTTGGTTTTATTGGTGTGTTCGTGATGGGTATCGATATATTGGCACAGGATTAAATCGACAAATCGGCGTTATTTTTCCCTTGTAGCCACAGAGGTAACCCAGGAATCAACGAAAATAAAACCCGTCACGCGTATCGTGTATTATTGTTATCGGTTTTATAATTTTTTTTTTTTCAGAAATCCCGTCGGGAATCACGACAAATGGTTCATATAAAGTACCACCCGTCAAAAAATCCACGTCTTTTAAGGTGAAAAAAAAAACTGAACAAATTTTACTAGCCGAAAAAGTATTTTTCTGAGGAAAAAAAAAACAAAAACGAAAATCCGTTGCTGGAAAGTTGGTATCACATTGCGATTAGACGAAACAATAATATTTCAGTTATTCCACGGAAATCTCGAATAACAGGTCCGACCACCAACATATTTAAATAATATTGTTTAAAAACAAAATACTTTGAAAGACTTTTTCTCCAAAACCGCTAGTTTCCATATAAATACCTAATTTAAGCATGAGAATACGAAATTACTTTTGCGCTTTCGAGTTCGGAAAACTTACAAAAACGGTCAATTAAATTAGGTTTGAACGTTTTCAGCGGGAATAAACGGCCCAGCGTTATTATTTCATATTTCAAACCCAGTCTTTCCCCCTCCAACACCGCGAGTTTCGAACGAAAACGAAAAAAAAAAATTCCCCCCGACAATCCTTTCTGCGTAGCCGCAAGTAACGTCGAAACGTCAAATAAATTCGACCAACGATATATTAGAAATCATTACGTATTAATTGACGGACAGTTTTGGATCCGTCTGTTGTAATAACATAACCAGCGTCCGTTCCGTCGGACGGTCGTCTGTTGTACACACGTATACGGGACGTACGGGGATATGGGAAGACGCGGTTTTTTTTTTTTGTTCGGTTTACACGTTGCGCGCGCGCGCGACGTTTGGCGAGTAAAGAACGGAAAACGAAAAATAAAAAACGTACGACAAACGAAAAATAACCGGCCGGACACGGCGGCGCCGGCGACGGCGGGGCGATTAATAATTCGCCCGTGTATTGTAAATCGCGTATGTACGCCGCCGCCGCCGCCGACGACGACGGCGATTATCCCTCGCCCGACCCTTTCTTCTCCGTCGCCGTCGCGCTCACGCTCTCGGCGGTGAGGTGGGGGGGGGGTTGGGCGTCGGTGACGGCAGGCGACACACCGCGTTATCGTCGTACGGACGCCGGAGGGCGCGCGTCGGCCCTGCGTGTATTCCGTTTTGTAATATTTCGAAAGCGCGAGCCCGGGCTCTCGCGGATTCGGCGTTTTCGCGGCGGCGCGGCGTCCCGCGGCCGTGCCGATAACGCGCGCGTACCGACACCGCGGTACAATTGTCGACGGTCGCGCGGTAAATTGTCGAATTTCACAGCGCTCCGCCGTAACGTTGCCGTCGTCGAACTCGTCGCGGCGCGCGGAACACTGTCGTCGACCCACTCACACGCGCTGTCCCCGATCGGCACGACGGCCGCACGTACATCCGGCCACGGCGATTCGTTCTGTTCCGTTGTTGTCATTATTGTTATTTGCCCCCCTCCACCCTTACTCTCCCTCCGCGAACCCTTGTGTCCTTAAGGCGCGGTAATAATATTTTGCGCGATCGCGATCGCGTGTTAACCGTTGTTTCCCGACCGCCTCGTCCCCCCAAAAAATTAAAAAAAATTAAAAATAATAATATTAATAAAACATCTGGCCACCATATATCATATACATCATATAGACACCGAATTTCCCGCGATAATAAAAACCGGCGTCGTTCTCAAAACGGGGAATAGTTAGTTACTGCGCGATACCTATTAGTTAAAAAAAAAAAAATAAATAAAACACATTTGTAACGCCGAAAAAAAGATAGGGTTAAACGAAAAATTATAATAGTCATGGAATTTGCCGAGCCTGCATTCTCGAAAAAAGTAATTCAATAATATAGTATAATAAGTCTGTTATAAGTCTGAATTCGTGGGGAAATGCAATTTTTTGCGACTTTTCGACTCGTAGAGTCTAATATCGGAACAAATTCCGACACACGTTTTACCGCGTCCAGAAAAAACTGTGTGAAAACAGCCGGTCGTAGTTTCCTCGGTGAATATAATTACCGGCAATATTGATAGGGATAATGAACTCGATTGCTGGGTTCCCTATAACGACATGCTAACCATGAAAAGTCGTAGGTCACTCGTATCTTAACACGCCGTAAATTTGATAATACAAATTCTAGTTCTCTATCTATTTTGATTTCGGTCGAGCCGTGGTCGAGATTTACCACTTTTAGTTTTAGGTTGGCGGAGAGCAGTGGTGCAATGTTAACACGCCGCGCGCCGTACCGCCGCACCAATGATATTCCACTACTCTCCTCCAATCGAGAAATTGAAAGTCGTATAACTCGTCGACAGCTTAACGGTATCGAAAATGTCAACACTAAAAATCATTTTAACTAATATTCAATTTATTCGCATGGGTCGTATAGTTATTTTTGCATAGGTCGCCGTTTGAAAATCGAAAACGCGCATTTGTTTTACCCCCGAAAAAATAAGGGCGACGGAAAACAACGCAAACACGAAATTGCGGAGCGGCTCGTTTCTCAAGTGTTCTGGAAAACCGTTGCCGGAATAGGCGAACACATTCCCGGGTAATGAGTACGCCCACTGAAACGTATCGCCCGGTACGCGGCGACGTATTTACCGATCCAGTGTGGTGCTGCCGATGCCGCGCGAAATGCGAAAAGAAACGGGCGTGACGAACGCGCAGGGAAACCGTTTCTCGTTTCTCGCTGTTCCGCTCCGCCGTCGCCAATCCCCGGATTGGTTTTCCCGTCCGTTTCCGCCGTCCGCCCGCCGTCCCGTTCGGCAGACCGGCAGTTTTAGGTGACGCGGTATCGTCACGAATCGCGCGTTTGATCCTCCGCGATCCGCAGTTTTATCCGTCCCGGCCTAACGAGCTTACGGCGCGCGTACGTCTCGCGCGGCCCTCCCATCCGACGGTCACCCCCTCCCCCCCACGACAATAATCGATTTCCGCCGCGGACCTTCGCGTCCGATCGCAGTACTACAGCCAATCCGCGCGCGCCCGTTTCCGCGTGTCCTTATCGAATTTGTCCGTACCGCGATTGCCCGCGCCGATATTTGGCGCTTCTTGCCGTTCGCGCTTATCCCTCCCCCCCCCTTCACGGCCCAACCCGTTCCGACCGCGTTACGCGGAATTTCCAAACTGCCCCGGGTCTCTTTTGTTCCTTTTTTTTTTTTTTTTTTTTTTTTTTTTTTTCTCATCGACGATATCGTCCGTGTTTCACTTCCGCACGACAGTACGTTTCGACCGTGCCCGTTGTGTCCAAAACGCGTTACGCCCGCAATAAATAACCTATTATTGCTTAAACCGTGAATATCAATACCGGTCGACGCGAACAGCCCGTCCGCCGTCAAAAGCTATACGCTTTTTAGCCCGGATAACGCGTTTCGCTGTCTCTTTCCTATCACGTTTCCCGTCGTTTCCTATCGCGGCGAAAACGCATAGAACGCGCAGATATATACTGATAACGAATTCGGTAAATTTTGTTTGTTATCCGCTCCGTTTTTTTATATTATACGTATAAATATATATATATATATATATATATATATTAGGGTGGTCCTTGTTATTTTTTTTTAAAATTTTAAAATGGAATTTCTTTGAAACCATAAAAAAATGAATTGTGTAAGGTTTCGTAGTAACTGTTCAATGTTTTAAAAATTTCTTTTGTTTTTCGTTTTTAGTGATTAAATTATCTCTGTCACTTACCTTGCATCTATCTAAAACAGTTACAAGTTTATCGTTGATGAATGCTGTTCTTCCTCGTCTAGTAGTTGAAGGGCCGGCAGAATCTTCACAGCTTTCCACAGTAATAGAGTTTTTGGTATTATCTTGTATGTTCTGGGCTAAATCACAATCGTCAGACAAACTTTCTTCTGTATCACTCGAACAACATAATTCCACAGATTCGACTAAAAGTTAATTCGTAATTTTATATTATTTAAAAGTACTGATTATACGACAAACTATAAAAACACAAAATACGAAATACTTACAGATAGGTTTTATTTTATTTTCTTTTTTTTTTTCGGATTCTTCTAATTGTTTAGATCGTTTAAATTCTCTTTTTTGACTTATCCAATCGACGCCCATCATCGCTCCTGGACGACCTTTTTTGTCTCTGAGTAATTAAAAACTGTTTGTCTATGTCAATAGTCATTATATCCAATGCATCTGCATGGGCAATGTCGAATAGCTCGTCAAAACATTGTACAAACTCATTTTCATTTTTAATTTGAGTATTTGTTCTCCGACTTGAATTTTTCCGCAAACTTCGCCATGTACCGTACAACTCTTCCAACATCGGTACACAATTACGAACTTCCCTAGCAGGTATTCGGGCTTTTCGCCGAAATATTAACGTTTCGTCAATCACTGACCGCGCACTCTCACGTAAACTCGACTCGGCTCGACTTCTCGAATGCGTAAAAAAATAGGACCGATAAAACTTGTTTGTTCGATGGTAACTTGCGTCCAACCAGTTGACGAGCACTAGCACCGATTAAATAAATACGTTTACGTATATTGATTTCGCTGTCCATTTTTGAAATCAAAATGTCTGCCCGTCGATGGCGTGTGGACAATTATACACCGAGCTGCGACGACAACGTTCGTATTATAATATAAACAATAAATAATACGTCCGGAACCGAGTGAATAATAAACCCGTAAAGACGCGTTAAACGTTTGAAGACTACGCGTTGTCACCGGACCGGGTCAACGTCGCGAAAACGTGAGTAGGTATCGTGTCTGCGCCAGTTTAGGCAGACATGTCAGAACACGTGTACAGTTAATATTGCACGGCTTTCCGTTCGTATGGAGCGTGCGTTTTAACCGCGTTATCAGTGCACGTTATTCAATAGCTACCGTATAGTTGTTTAGCGCAGTTATGTTTTTAAATTTTCTTGGTACAAAGTATATTATATTGTACAAGCTGTTACCGTGTAACACATACTGAAAATTAGTTTTTGTTATTTTGTGGGCGAATGAGTTGTCAAACGAAAAATGTACGAATAACATTTTTTTGTACGATAAACAATTTAAAAAATATATCGTCCATACACTTTTTAGCCCGTCTTGAAAATTTTAGACTGAAATTACAAAAATCTAAAAACCACCCTCATTTGAACTTCAACCCTCTTCAGGCACGCCTTAAGGTCTACCGATTATTACGAAACTTTACAAAATACATTTTTGAATACAATACCCTAATATATATATATATGTATATACACGCAGAAATCGCATCGGAGCACGTCCCGAGGCCCCACCCCCTCACATCCGCCCCTCCCGCCGCCGTTACTTCGTATATTCGCTTGTCATAATTATCACTATCAATTTTTTCCCCGAGCGCGTGCGCGCGACGTGTGTCGAGAAAAGCCATTATTATCGGCGGCGCGTGCTGTTTGGCTGCTGGGAAGGGTTGAGACGACCACTCGTTCGTTTTTGAAATATTATACGCGCGCGCACGTGTGTTTGATTAGTACGCGTGCGGGTTAAATCACTCGCGGGACAAATTATCAAAGCGGAATCCGGCAAGGGGTTTCCATTATGCAGGCCGGTCCCGGGACACCGTACGCGTTTCTAGGCATCTCAAAATAGAACGATTCTATTCAAACCATTAAAAACCGCCCGTCTCTGAATTTATTTTTCCGAAATACACGTTAATGAAAAAAAACGAAATCCCGACATGCACACTTTTGGTCCGTCGGTAGACCATCGTAACATAAACGTTAGAAACAAAACAAAAACAATTTCGTTAAAAAATATTATACTGATTTGCTTATGAAATGTAGAATTTCGATTTTTGTTGGCTCTACTGTATGGCATACACAACACGATAAACCCATTTTCATATACTAAAAATGTTGTAAAATACCAAGTATACAAGTAGTAGATAGTGAAAAACTAAAAACAGTAAAATTATTTATTATCATTGTATTATCCTACTTATATTATAAATATGAAAGTTTGTGATGGACGTTTGTTACTCTTTCACGCGAAAACCGCTGAACCAATTTCGATGAATTTTAGTATATAGAGATATATGTGACCTTGGAAAAAACACAGAGTACTTTTTGTGTCGCGAAAATAACACTTGGAGGAGAAGAAATAGGGGATGAAAAGTTTTTAGGTTTTTTTTTTTTTTGGTGCGAAAATTAAATTATTTTTGTTGAATTATGGATTACTATAGTTACACGAATGAAATGAAAACAAATTTAAAGCAAAAAAAAAAAAAAAAACAATAAACAGAAATACGTATGCCGACTTTAAATAAATAGTCTATCTGACTACTGTCTGCACGCCGGTCTATTATTGGCTTGAAATATTATGGGCTACCTTGGTAATATAAATGAAAAAAAAAACTATAATCGGTGGGTAAGTGAAAAGTGAATGCACCTAAAACGTCATCTCCGAATAGTTGTATTTTTGGGTAGTGTCACAACACTACAGTAGTCTTATGTTCTCATGATTTCAGGGTCATTATAGTGGATATATAGTTTGATCCCTGTGTTGTGCGGGTGTCTATGGTGACACGAATGGAAAAATGTATAATGCACCGGGACACTTTTAGTCCACGGAATACCTACTTTCCGCCTATTTTTTAGTTTAATATACCGATACGGACAAAGCAAAACGGAAATAAAGGTCTAATGAATAACGAATTAGCACAGGGCAACGCCGCGCAGTTAGTTACTACGTATTTACATTTTATAGTATTTATAATAATAATAATAATAATATATTAACAACGATAATATAGAACACATTTTATTACGGAATAATACATTTTGCGAACGGTTGTTAGCACATTGAAAAATATAAACAAACGGCTAGAATTTCTTAACGGCGCTGGACCGCAAAATGAATCCGAGGCGCACTGTCCATTTATTTTATGATCCATGGGTTATTTAATTCTCCTCTCTTTCGTCGATTTTTTTTTTTATCGATTCGATGCATTATTGTCGCATATAAAAACTATAATTTATTATACAAACATATGCGTAATACTTGGCCCGCCGCAACGAACATTTCTGCTCGTCCAAAGAGATTAGAAATTGGAAAAAGTGACGCAACGCTGCAGGCGATATGATAAGAGACGTTAAAGCGCGATGCCTACGACCTTTATCCTTGGGATATGAAACTATACACCGACATACTCCGGCGCAACAAAGCGCATCACGCTCTGCCCAATTATCCGTTCCGATTTTGAAATCACGTACAAGACTGGTATATTTGTGTAACCATGTACACGAACGTCGGCTCGTCCGCGTTCCTAAAGGGCGGATGCCATTCCATTTTAAACCGTATAGCTCCGTAAATATATAATAACAATAATAATAATAATAATACGCATTATATCCGTCCGGTTAGGGACATGAGCGATCGCACAACGGGCCGGACGAGGCGACCCGACCATAATAATAATAATAATAATAAATAATTTTTGCTGGTTATAAAACGACTAGTTTTACTCCTTATCGCCTCCCCTCGATTATTCACGATGTCAGTTATAGCGCGGCGTGCTCGACAATAATTACGATTAATTATTTCGTTCGTGACTATTTAAATCGGATTTTTTTTTTTTTTGTTCTGTTTTTGTCCGAATCGATTAATTCATATTTTATAATATTATTCACCAGTTCGATAAGAGAGAAAACAAACAGTAACCAGACATCAAATCGAATTGTAGGTGCATCGTTTATGATGGTTATGTGTACTCATATATAATCCTGACGAGGTCAAAACGGTAGGTAATCTTGTCGAGAATTTACGTGCATGCGTTCAATATTATTCGACGCGAAATAAATTCATTAAACCTTATAATATTTACTGTGTAAACCAGCAGCAGAAATATCGACCGATCCGTAAAACGGAAAATCGACAGACGCAACGGGCGTATTTGCATCGGTATATTGCACATTTACCGGCACATTTGGTATATTGACAAAATAATAATATTGCATTTTACTATAATGTAGGTAATAATTTTTTACGATTCTAAACATAAGCTTCGAGCATTACGAATTAGAAAGACAGTCCCGACTGGGTACGGACTTTCGTGCAAACTGCGGAGAGCGCATAATTGAATAGAACATTCTATCATTAAAAGTAGGAGGTTTTTTTTTTATTTTGGTGTTTAGCATTTTATGAGAAAAATCGAAAAATGACCAGCGTAACTTATCTTCACACACCGGTTTCCTTTCGGAAAAGCTGCTACATGTAGAAATCCGAGTAAGTCTTCTGGTAGAAAAGTTGTAAACTGATAAAAAAAAAAAAAAACCTCTTTGCAAAACCATAAGCTTCTTCGCTCCACTTAGAATATAAAATGACTATTTCTGATTTGTAGCGTTCTCGCACTGACAATACGATGATACATCCTGCAATGTTCTCGTACACTCTACATAATTGTGTACCGAAAGGACTAAGGAGCAACTATTGTGCACACTAAGGCGGGGAAAATAACAAGAGACCATCGAATCCTGATAAATAAAGAAGAAATTTCAATGGTTGTCGTACCATATACGAGTAAGATGAATCGCGTGTGAAGCACCGCGCAACCGATTTCGCCGGATGCTAGCAGATACTATAGTGATCGTTTTATAATCAAATTACTTATTATTCTAAATTAACATTGTACCGTTTGCTATATAATTATTATTATTGAGCATTTTCCATTTGTTTACCTACGTCAGACGGTCGCATTATTTCTTATGAGACTGCGACGACGTTTAACGAATATAATATAAACAGTTTTGTGAAGTATTCGAATAAGAGTATTTTATAAACACCTGCACTCAAGGGGCCCGTCATTAACATTTGTTTTTTTTTTCGTCTGCCACGCGCTTAATGGTAAAAATTGAGTTAAGAAATACGCATATGTCGATAGTAAATGAAAGCCTATAAAAAAAAAATTCACTTGTACGATTCACACATTAGTAAATACTATTCGTTATGGAATTTAAAATAGATCTATTTGTCTTAAGTTCAATCAGAAGGTCACAACCGTGGAAACCCCTTAAGAAAACCAATTATCAAATATTTTATCCTCACGTTAGCGTAGTGGATTTCGTATGAATTTACAATTATTTTAA